CTTTGCTTCCACTGTGCCCCGCAGTGTTATGGCTGTCAGCACATATAGAGCATGTCTTACACAGCTTCAACCTCCAGCCTGCAATTTGAAAAGCTTTTCAGTTCATATAGAGCTGACAGTATTTATTTTTAAGCTCCACGGCCTCTTGTTGCATGCTTACATAAAACTGCCATCACTGTAAACTGTTAGAGGAAGATCGGCCAGTGAAACACGATTTTATATTCTTTTCGTATTTAAAAAAAAAGGTCTGTAGTCTGTTGATATATCTGAGTAGGGAAACTCTTTAATTTGTCTTGAACTAGGAAAAGACGATGCTTTATGCCTTTAAAGACCAGATTTCCTTTGACTTCCTTTCCTTTTGCTGCAAGCCTTTAATCTTCGGATTATTTGGTCTCCTCTGCTTCGTTCATGTCTTCTCCGCCGTTTGTTGTTTCTTTTTTAATATGGCTTGTTGTGTGTTTACGTGCATGTGTCGGCGTCTTCATTGAAAAGGTGGCTGACACTGCGTGCTGCTGGGGTTATTCAGCGCGTCTGAAAACATTACATCTCAAACACTGGCTGTTAATGACACGTCAGTACCTCAAGACGCAGCTTCAATATACTCTATTTACATTGTCGCTGCAAACGAAAATAAAGCCCGGTCAAAAAATATCATCAGCCACCCCACTGGGGATGTGACCTGTTTTATGGTTTTATTAAAATCTTCTGCACATCACACAGTCTTCTAGTTATGAACTATGAAGATCAAAGAAAAGCAACGTTAGATTGAATCAAAAAGCATTATCCTCAAAGGTCTTACATTTTTTCCCATTTCAACTGGTTAATGTAAGTGTCCAGCTCCAAATGTCACACTGATTGCTCATTTTAGCATCCCTGCATTCAGCCCTGAAGTGGTGCACCTGTGACAGAGGATCTGTTGTCTTCACAGCATTTTTGAGGAGGGGGGGTTATTACACATGTGACTTCTGATGCATCAAACAGTTGAGAGGAGATGCAGTTCACAGCCTCACACCATTTCCTACAGTTTCAGGGTAACATCTCAAACCAGCAACAAAAACCATCCTCTTGGTTGTGACTGTACATGCTGCAAGTCTTATCCATGTTGCAAAAGTTCTTTTTCGGTGTCTGTAGCTTTAACTTTGTTTGATGAAATAACCCTGGCCTGAGAACAAGGCAAAATAAACTTGTGTTCTTGCAGGTTGCACAAGTATAGCTATAGCCCTCTCACATGTTAACTGAACCCTGGAGTTTACCTGGGCGTGTTTTGATTAAAAACCCACATGACTGAGTAAAAACCCACATGAAACTCTGGCAGAAATTGCTACATCACGCACAATGTTGTCGGATGTGGTGGCATTACTACTAGATCTTCATTTCTCAGATGCCTGGGGGGAGTGAAGACTCTCGCGTGTACTTGTGCAGGCAGAAACAGTTAAAGTTAGCAGTCTGACAGGTTTGTCTCTGCAAACAAAGAAAGGTTGCACTGTGGATCCCGGTGGGGTGTACTGAAAGCCTGAATGAGGGCAGTTGTACATTGTTATATGTATGTTTACATAGCTTTGCAAATTTTTAAGGTCCACAATCTCTTGTTGTGTCCTTATGCAAATCTGCCATCACTGTAAACTATAAGAGGATGGGCCAGAGGAACGTGTCTTTCTATTCTTTTCATGCTGTAAAAATGCCAGTAATCTCTTAATATGTCTGAGTAGATCAACTTCAGTTAGTAAAAGATTGTGATGCTTTATGCTTGTGTGCACTTCTCTGTAGATCAAGCTTTTTTAACATTTGCAAAGCAGATACGAGGCAACAGAAGTTTGATTTTCTCCACCACTGTGTTGCTATAATATAACAATGGTGCTCCCCACCCGCAGCACCACTCCACAAAATCTGCTCACGAACAGCTTGAGCAACATGACAATGAGGCACTGATCTACCCTGCAAACTGTCTAGCTATCAGTCCAAATGAGCATCTGCAGGATGGATTGAAAAAAGCCCAATCAGCAGAGGCACTAACCAGTAACGATCTGCTTGCCAGTGTCTAGATCGAAGGTTTAGCTTCAGCAACATTATGTGCCCAAAACTGAGTTTGGCTGACTACCTAAACATACTGAATGACCAGGTTTGTCCATCAGGTGATATTTTCTCCTCTGATGGCAGAGGCATAGTCCAAGATTCACTGAGCTCAAAATGTGCAAGAGTGGTTCAGGGAGCATGAGTGGTCAGATTCTTCCATCATTAACACAAGATGTTGGCAAAGAAGTAATGAAACCGTGAACAGAAATACATTTTGTGACACTGGATAAGTGTTTGACTTTTTGGGGTTTTCAGGCCAGAAGGTAGATAGTCTTGAAAGAGTGACCAGACCCTAAAAAATAATTAGTCATTTCTGTTTATAGTCACATGTAGTCTTTCATGTGGAAGAGTATTAGATTTCCTGGTACCAAATGGTAACACTTGGCAAAGAAGCTTTGATGCAGTTGTGTAAAATATACTTTTTGGCAATTAAAAGAAGCTTCTCCAGAGGTCTGTAGTGTAAATGGTAAATGGCCTGTATTTGTATAGCGCTTTACTAGTCCCTAAAAGTCCCTAAGGACCCCAAAGCGCTGAAACACATCCAGTCATCCACCCATTCACACACGGGTGATGGCAACCTACATTGTAGCCACAGCCACCCTAGGGCGCACTGACAGAGGCGAGGCTGTCGGACACTGGCGCCACCGGGCCCTCTGACCACCACCTGTAGGCAACGGGTGAAGTGTCTTGCCCAAGGACACAACAACTGAGACTGTCCAAACCGGGGCTCGAACCGGCAACCTTCCGATTACAAGGCAAACTCCCAACTCTTGAGCTACGACCACTAGCTACTGCTAGATGCAACTCTCTAGAGGATAGGCCTAAGAGGAAAACACCAAGATCGTTTTAAAATTTCATTTTAAATATTCTACTATGTTCCTTAGATATAAATGACCACAAGCTGGAAATCAATTTACACTCCCAGAAGCAATGAAAATATGTTCCCCAATCAGAAGAGAACAGAGGAAGGAGAGAGCAGTTGATCTTGTACAAAACAACAGGGGTGATATGCAATCTGTGAAGAATCTTATACTGAGTCGCTCCGTCTATTGCATATGAGGGCAGATTTTATAATGCTCCCTGCCAGTCATCCTCTATATATTCTGTGCCTAAATCCTTTTCCCACTTATGAGCAATATTAGCAGCTCATATTCATCCAAAGAACAGAGAAGGGAGTAGAATAGTGAAATAAAAGACTTCCCAGATTAAGGCTCTAAGACAAATCACTCTATGATGCTATAGGTAGGTAACTGAACCCTGTAGGTAGGTTAATAGAAGTAGAGGTGAGATTAGAAGATAAAAAGTGCCTAACTTTCAAATATCCAAAGAATTGTTCCTTTGGACACATTATCTCCAAACAGGTCTCCAAGTGCACGAATCCCCCGTCCCACAATAAGGAGAAAGCAGATGAGCCAGTGCCAGCAGGAAAGTCAGCATTTTGGACAATAAGGGACAGCAAGGATTTCATATTATTCCTTCCAAGGTATTTAGTAATATAGTGCCAGTCTTTAATACTGTTATATAAAATAAGATGGTGCTTTACCACTGGGCTTATATTACTGACATAACGTGACCAGACTCCATAGGAAGCGTGGAGAACTCCAAGAAGCAATACATGATTCCAATTTAAGATTTGCATTAGCCAAGACCAAAGATGTGAGCGTGGCAAGTCTGGTTGTAGAACAATAATTTAGGCATGGAAAGGCCACCCATGTCTGTATGTAACTGTAAAGGTATAAGCCTCTGTCTAGGATTTTTGCCATTTAGAGAAGGACTTTTGTATATCCTGAATATTCTTCTGGGCAAGTACAGAGGAAGCATCTACAAAATTTATAAAATATGAGGGAGGATATTCATTTTAATGAAACTAATGTGGCCTATCAGAGAAAGTGGTACGTCATGCCAAGGTCAATGTCTTTTCTTTTTATTGAGGAATAAACTGGAAGAAAATTAGGTTTCCACAGGTCCTTTAGGTTTGGCAGTGTTTTGATTCCCAAATAAGTAAAACCAAATACAGACATTTGAAAGGAAAAATTGTTCATTATAGTTTAGTCCACAAATTTTAAATAGGTTTGAGGTTGGCGCTTTGCTAAGGCCATTCCAGTAGGTTAATGTTAGCCCACTTTATCCATTACAAAACCAGTTTGGATGTGTTTGGGGTTATTGTGTCAAAGATTCAACAACGTACCTGTTGTTTTGAGGTGAAGTTGAAGAATTTAGAGGTATCACGCTTTCTTCATTATTCCATCCACTTTGTACAGCTTATCAGTGTGACTGGCAGTACCAACCTCCAACAGCTGGTATAGTTCTTTGGTTTGAAAGCCTCAGTTTTACTCCTCTTTTATAATTGCTCTTATTCCCACCCAGTATTGGTAAATCAATTGAATCATGTCAAACAAATTTTTTGAACGCAAAGAGAAACTACAAATTGTAGTCGATCATAATCACCAACTTGAAAATATTAGGTCTTGTTTTTCTTCTTTTTATCTTCTTTTTTTCTCTTGTTTTTTAAAGTCATCAAAGATGTATGCATATATAATTATATTACAGTGGAAAAAGAACAGTTCAGAGAGCTCATTAAATGCCCACAATTACAAAGACATTTGGCAATGATGAGTGGATGTTGACTACAACTGTATATTCTATATACTGCCCAGCACACCCTAATCAGCTACATTGGGTGGAGAAACACAGCTATGATGGGAAACACTCATCAGCTGACTTTGTGTTAAGGAGCCGTGATGAAAGGGAATAATGAGCATAGCGGACAATACTGAAAGTCTATTTTCAGTTAACTAGCTATGAAATCTCAGTTTAATATTTAAAGTGTGGGTCAGTTGAATCAAATTCTGTTTTTGAAATTCTAATCCATGGATTAGAAAGAATAAATTGAATCACTCACATCCTTTTTCTTTTCTCTCCTTTAGGATTTGGGACTTCAGGGAACATCACTCAATGACATTTTGTACAAAAATGCAGCGTTTCTAAACCTGGTGGACCCCATTTCCCATGAATTGCTGCTCAGCCTTGCCCGGGACCTGCAGTGTCCAAAAAGGGTATGAATAAAACAGTTTTATTCATAGTGAACATTCAAAGCAGCTGTTTGTTTACAGACTTGACACCAGTAAAAAGGACAAGCAGTACATTTCACACAGAGGCTACACACACGCCTTCATTAGCCACGCTTAGATGCTTGTGTCATATTCATTGTCATGCTATTGCAATAACAATGAACCATCGGTTTGCTTTGTGCAGACACAAATGCAGAAGCCAGGAAGAATGGAAAATATTGTAAGAGCTGACTCAATAGCATGAGAGGTTAGGGATGAATAGCAGGGCCAAACAGAACCAGGGTATGACTCTTCATTGTTACTCTGCACTCGGTTAGCCCAGTTGCAAGTGGGAAGCAGCTGTGCACCAGTACCTGCAGGTGTATTAAATTACCTGCTCTGGTTGGGTTATACTGGAAAGCACGGTCAGGTGCCAGGCAGCTAGAGGTCAACAGAGCTCTTGACCTCTAGCTGCCTGGCTTTAGGGGGCTCATTACCCTGGCACTAATAGTGAGGGAAGTTTGAGGGCTTTGATAAATAGCCAGAAAAATCAAACTAGGGAAGGTAATGCTTTCCTCTTGGAACTGGGAAATCTAGGAAAGAGCAAAGAGAGATTTTCCAACACAAAATTTGAATTCTGCCCAAAAATCAAAGCCACTTTTTTTTCTTTGTCCAAACTGGCAGTCGGCTCGTTTACTTGCAGCACAGCATACAAATCAGCACGTTGAAATTCAAAGTACATTTCAATCTAAGGTAAGAGGCTGAAGACATTACAGAATCTACTCAGAGTGGCTGTAAAACATGAACCCAGAAGCTATTACGGATACAGTTATGAAAGAATGGCTGCCACAGGGGGAAAAAAGTCCTTGTGGTGTAGTTATTACTTACTGAGTTCAGATGATAATCACCTGGAAGAAACTCTAATCTTATCTTTGTTTACTTCAGCGAGGAAAGCCCTGGAGGTAAGGAAGAAAAGTGAGAAGCTGGCAGCAATGTTCTCCTGACTGGCTGGCGACCCGTGGCAGGATACTGTGTTAAACGTGACAAGGGTGTATAGAGGCAATGTGGTGGATATAGGGCCCCGCAGGTGCTTCTGTGGCCACTATTTTCCACCTTAGATTTATTTAGGCTGAGCATTCAAGGGCATACTGTGGGTTAAAACATACATTATATGCCAGTGTCTTGTTTTAATGCAGACCTGTTATTAATGCTTAGAAGAGCTTATAGAGTTACAGTACTGCACTCTGTCAATAACTCTGGAGCACGCATTTTTCTAAGAACACTTTTGCTCTGTAAATCAGCATGCGCTGCTTAACATCGTGCTCATTCATCCAAGTGGCTGAAAGAGAAGCACTGAATGTTTTGAAGCGTGTGACATGTTTGTTTGTCACCCAAGAAAAGAAGAGGCAGCGGGAACGGTTAATCGCCTTAAGGTAAATTGGCCCTGTCTTTTTTCCTCTCTCGCCGCATTGCCTCTTTCTTGTTGTCGTGTTCTACCATTAATTAGATTTAGCCTGCCCAGCGCAACCCGTTCCAGTGTTTGACGGAGGAGGGAGAGCGAAGAAAAAGAATGTAAAGAGGTGCCGGAGAATCAGGAAGGAACGCAAAAGAGAAGCTGAATTACTGAGTCATGTGGAAAATGTTTCAAGCAAGACAAAGAAATGCTTTGTAAACATGTAAAATTTGGTAGTTTCACAAGTATTTTTTTCAGCAGTAATAAAGGAAGAAAATATTTGCTAATTACTGACTTTTAGGATATCTAACATCTGGAAAAGCTGTCCAGTATCACATTGTTTGCTTAGTTCCCTGTTTCAGGTGTGCTCATGCACGAGCAACAGTTTGTTTATAGATTTGTGGCTTGCTTTTCTGTCCCTCATTCACCCTTTTGTGTGTTGCAGGAGACTGACTCGTTCAAGTCTACTAACAAGATATGTCGCCAGCTGATTTACCACCTGACCCCTCACTCCAAGTGGACAAGACAGAGCGTGCCCAGGAGAAAGTCCCAGGCCTGGTGAGTGTGTTCTCTTGGCTACCGCCTGAAACTGTGCCATCACACAGTAAATATATCCTCACCGTGTGTCTCAGTGTGATTCACAACCCTCCGGAGCATCTGTGGAATAAAGGAAGTGTGGAACAATCTCTGTGTCTAAGAATATGTTCCTTGACCTCTTGCTAAGCCCTGCTCCTCTTAGCTCATGCAGCTAATCTATCTCCAACTTACAATGAGAACAGTGCAGATTTAAGATCCAGTCAGATCCCCTGGCAACCACCAGTCACTAGGGGAAAATGTAAAGTCCTCAACCAGCTTGCAAGTGTTTTGCAAGTGGAGGTTGCAAGGATTTTAGGTTGCTTGGGGTTCACTGACCAAGCTCTTGATTTTCCAACATAAGGAGCCCAGACAGGAGAAGAGAAAAATCAGCGTCTCATTTGTAGAGATAAGCTGCTGAATTTGATGGCTGGAATGATTGTGTGCAACAATCAATTTGCGCACTAATAAAGCTACACAGCTAACTGCTCCAGTTAGCAGAAAAGGGTTTCTTTGGCTCAATTTTAAATTGTTCTTGCTGTTTTGTCTTAAAATAAGTCTTAAATATGCTACTAATTAGACAAAGTAAGGTTCTTTCTCAGTGCAGAGTAAATTTATCAATATGGGCTTTAAACTATTCAAGATCTGTATCATCAGAGCTGATCGGATCATTATCATTTATTATGTCATTTCAACAACAGGGCCTTAAAATGAATCATACACAAGCTACAAAGATCTGGATTTGTTTTCCATTTGGTTATTAGGTTATGATGTGAAAAATGGCAGTTGGAGTGGGATTTATGTTTCCTGCATGCTGCTCTTCTTAAAAACATTATTTCCTTGCTTACATTAGCCAGTCAGGGTTGCATTAGTAATACAACCAAGGGTTACATGACCACAAGGCATAGCTTGTACTTCTAACCCACAACCAATCACAGGGGAACACTAAATGACAGGTTTCATTTTTTTCTTTTAAAAAGATTGTTTACCTGATGTTTTTTCTTCTACCTTCTTTAAATAACATTAGAGCTGATATGCCATTACAAATCCTTGTTTGTAGCCAGTAATGATGTTTTTGTATCATTAATCAACACAAAACATAAAAACAAAAGATGTAGTATTCCACTGTTAAGGACATTTCTGTGCTTTTTAAGTGTTTCTTACATTCATTCATATAGTTTTGCTTCAGTTATGAAGCGATGTGGTAAACTACCCACACTGACATCGGCTCAGGTGGCAGAATGCAGACTTTTAAAGGTCATCAGTTCATTACATGCAGCAGAAGGACCGATGAGCTTATGCCACAGAGAGGCATCCCCCATCAATAATTCACAAAAATCGCTGCTCCCCCTACGTGTTGGTCAGAATTTGATCAAACTTGCATACAGAAACTACTTGATGGGTCTTCATCTGTGCAAACTGTGCTCAAGGTCAAAATCACATATGTTCAAAAACCTGTGAATTGTAATGGCTTGTGAGTCAAATGAGCATCACTATGGTTCTGGTCTTTACCACTTATCCTATTCATGGCTGTTGGTGGACTGCGAGCCTATCCCAGCTGTGATAATAACACTGGGATAGGCCGATCAACCGCTCTTTAATTTTTAATTTGTACTGACATTTATCTGATCACACCCCTGACCAAGATCCTTCCTAAGAAAAATAGAAGACGCATCTTTAACGCAGTTCTTTTCATCTGAACTCAGGTTACAGTTTTCTACCTTGTGCCCTGTATTTGTTTACATGGACATGTTTGTGATCCAAATCAACTTTCAGTGCATAGTCAGTCAGTCTAACACCACCACTAGCCTGCCTGTGCTCTCTTGCTTCATTTACAGTACATTTCTTAAACATTGAGGTGATTGACGTTTTAAATACAGCATATTATATCTGTGCATATGTACAAGTAAGAGGTTGTATTATCTGCAAAATAACAAAGTCAAGAATGAATAAAGTAATTATCTTTTACTTTTGTTGTTTTACTTACTTTAGTTATGAAAAGTGAAGTTTTTCCTGGTAAATGTAATTTTTCTTGTTGTAAAATAACACATCACAATGTGTGCTTACTGGGATGTGTCCGTTTTCTCACTTACCTCTCAACAGCAATGCTTCTTTTTTCTCTCTCTCTCATCCAATACTGCTGTGACTGAAACACTGCCAGTGACAAGTTTGACAAACCCAGAGCGTTAATCGCCCTCTCGTTCCCTCAGTAGTAAAATCTGCTAAAAACCTGTCCCGTGTCAGTTCATACACTGTTTTGAGTTTTATAAATACTTAATGCAACAGTTATTTTATGTCTCTAGGTTAGTTGTAAATCGCTTTTCATTAGTTCACTTCCTGTAACCTTAGTCATCTCTTTGTGCTTCGTCCTTTTGTGTCTCCTTGAAGTCTGTCGTGCCTCCCGGTTTGTTTACCTTTTGTCTATGTCAAGTTCATGTGTATTAGTCTCTGTCTGTGTTTGTGCTTCCTGTTTTATTTTGGTGATCTCTTGTTCATGTGCGCCGTCTTGAGTTTTGCTTCCTTTGTGTCGTCTGTTATGATTCTGCTCATCAATGCCTCGTTCTCCCCAGCTGTCTCCACTTCCCCTAATCACCCTCCTGTGTGTGTGTTGTCTGTCTCTCTGTCCTTTGTCAGCATCTGTTTAGTTTCTTCTTGTGCTTAGTGTTTTCTCAGTCCTAGTAACTCCGGTGTATTTCTTAGCAGTTTATAGTTTTCTGTTTTCCCCTTTTGGACGTTTGCTGCTTTTGTTCATTTTTTGCCATCAGTTGAATAAAGAGTTTGCTTTCTGTTAAACCCCGCCTGCTTGTGTCCGCATTTGAGTACAACTCAGCTTCCAGTCTGCACATCCTGCAGATTATGACACAGATCCCAAAGGTGCTCTAATGGATTTGAATCTGGTGACTGTGGAGGCCATTTGAGCACAGTGAACTCATTATCGTGTTCAAGAAACTAGTTTGAGATTAGGGATGGATACCGGTTCTGACATAAACGGTAGTAACCAGACCGAAAAGCAGCGCACATTTCGGTGCTTT